CCCCAGCTCCTGGAGTCCCGTGATTATATTGCGACAACTTTTTTTTTTTTTTTTAAGTAAGCTTCTAGTTTGCATGGTTGTGGAGAAAAGCTTGAAAAGGTCATCTTCAAAATCCAGAATATAAAGAAAATGAACCCCAGATGTATTTTCTTAATCGCATTTTTTAAATGTGTGGGATTAGCAATATTGAAACCTACTCCTGAGAGTTTTTTCCCCTCAAGACTTCTTGGGACCAGAGGCCCGCTGGCACAAATGCTGGTGGAAGTTTCATTACGAGTAAGGAGCACAGCCCTGCCTTTCAATCCAAGACACTTTGGGGCAAGCTGTGTTTGCAGTTGCTGCTCAGTTTTTCTGTGGGCCATAATCACAGCCTGGATTCATGTATATTGGCTCACAGACTATACTCCATGAACTAGGGATGTTAATGGCTAACCAGTTAACTGGTAAGCATCATCTGACTGGACGATGCTTACCAGTTACTGGTTAACCAGTTTATTAGGTGATGAGCTTTCGTGGGCCAGACCCACTTCCTCAGATCAAAGTGTCTGTCTGCTATGTACATTGGACAAACGTCTCAGACGCTTCACCAAAGAATCAATGCCCACAAAACAGATATTAAACAGGATCACAAAGAAAAAACAGTTTCTTGCCATTTCAACCAGAAAGGACATTGTCTCAACAACTTGATTACCTGCATCCTGCTTCAAAGACCTTGAAAGAGAATCCTCTGAACTGTCATTCATGCTTAAATTCAACACTTTACGCCTAAGCTTAAACAAAGACATCAATTATCTTACCCATTACAAAGATAGCTTCCCTCATAGACATTTACCCTTCCCCCCCCCATCTCCTTTCTGTTCTGAAATTTGATTTGTCCTTTTCATATGTGTTGATTTTTTTTAATTGTATCCTTTGGTATATATGGTTGTGACAATTTTCTTCCACTATTTGATCTGAGGACGTGGGTCTGGCCCACAAAAGCTCATCACCTAATAAACCATCTTGTTAGTCTTTACAGTGCAATATTCCTGTTTTTTGTTTCAGCTACACCAGACTAACACGGCTACATTTCTATCACTATTGGTATAGGCATGCACTGATTTGGAATTTAATCAATTTATCTATTTACTGTACAGTCTGCCTTATTTTAAGCATTTACCTGTCATCGGGTGAGATCTGAAGGAATATCCTTAAAGGATTTCATCAGCATCAGTAGAAAATGCAATTATTTCATGGTAGGAGATTAATAAGTAGGAGATTCTTAAAGGAAGGTACCACGGTAAAGGACAATGGGAGTCTTGCAATGGTTCAGATAGCCACAAAGGCATGGGCACAGCCTTCCCGAAACTGCCAACACACCCAACTGCCTAAAGCTCGGGCCTTGGCACAGCAACCTGGCTCCCCCCAGCCACTGGGGAAGGCAGCCCAGCTCAGCAGTCTCTCTGCCAGGGAGGAATGGGCCGCAGTGCAGCAGCTCCTGGCTCTTCGCATGGCTAGGAAGGATCGGGCTGGGAGTGGGCAGGGCTTGGATCCAGGGGCGGGGTCTTGGGTGAAAGGGGTGGGGCCTTGAGCAGAAGAGGCGGGGCTGGGGCTTTCTCCCAACACTCATGCACAAAGGAAGATAGAATTCCTTCTATCCCTCCTGGCACTGATTTGTTTTTAGAATTAACAGCAATATCCTGCCTTGAACATATCCAGTTTAGAGCTTTGGTTTCCATCCAGTAACTTTGGCTCTGGAACTATTTTGACTCTTCCTCGTCCATTCTTCTAGTTTCACCCTCTTGCCAAATTCCTATTCACAGATGGAAGGCACAAGTCTCCACTTCCTGAAGCCCAGGCAGCAGTAAAGAAGCCCCTGAATAGGTCAAGGGAGCTCTACAGAGAGGAAGCTTTGAATAGGACATTTGGGAACATTTGACGTACTGGAGCTTTCTAATGCATAGATCACTTATAGGCACACGTTAAACTATTTCTCTCAAGTTACATAGGAAGCCACGGGTTAAATGCTTCTGTGCTTTACGGCATGGCATTGTGCGGCTTCCAGCTTTTCACAGCACACTATGCCAATCCACTCACTTGAAAGACGGCCTCAAACAAGCATCCCACGTCAATTGGCAGGGCCGACAATTCTCTCATGGCACACATCTATCCCTCGCAGCTCCTCAATCACCAAAAAGAGAAGTCACTGAATTACTGTTGCTTAGACCTCACGCATCTATCCCTCACAGCTCCTCAGTCACCAAAACGAGAAGTCACTGAATTACTGTTGCTTAGACCTTGCTGCCCTGGGAAACTGCCTAGACCAGATCTTTTAAATGGATGAGAAACCCTATTTTCCACTTTCTAACACTGCCAGAATTTCGAGACAAATCAGGCCGTCTGTAGGCCTTGTTTCTGCTACTAACGTTGGTTAGAGGATCCGAGAGTTTTCACCAACGGTGCATAGATCTAGAGCCAGTATAGCTAACTAAAACTGACTATAACTTCCTCTAGCTTTCATTTTTTTAATGAAGTTTTTATATTTCTTTCTAATAACTGCTCATGCTCACATTTATTTTTTGCCACTTTCTACAGATTCACTCTAGTGTCGTTTAGGCAGAACTGGCCAGAATTTTAAAATGTCATGCTCATCTTTAATTGAAAGAAGAACTTTTTCAAAATTATTTCCCCCTCAGAGATTTGTCAAACTAGCCATATGTTTTGGGGTTTTCTTTTTAAAAAGGGGGGGGAAGAGACGATCACCCCAACTTTTTTTTTTCAAAAGATCTGAAAAAAAAATCAGAATTGCCATTGAAAGGGTAGCCAGTTCTGGAATGGCTTAGATCAATTTTTCAATAAAGTATCAGAGAAACACATGGATCCATTTCAAACCTTTTGGAAAAAATCTCGAAAAAGCCTCTTTCGAAAAAGAGCGTCTAGACTACAACCAGTACTTTCGAAAAAGCAAGCTGCTTTTTCGAACGAGAGCACCCAGGCAGTCTGGATGCTCTCTTTCGAAAAAGGAGTTTGCATTACATAGCACCCACGAAAGCTCATGATACTAGATATCTATTTTTGTCAGTCTCTAAGGTTCCACAGGACGACTTGTTTTCAAAGTTACAGACTAACACGGCGACCCCTCTGAAGGTGTCTAGACTACAGGATTGTTGTTTTTTTTAAAATGGCCTTTTTTCGAAAAAAATTTTCCCTGCATCTAGACTACTGCTGCATTCTTTCAAAAGTAAATCAAAAGAACGCAGCAGTCTTTTTGATCACGGTAAACCTCTTTTTATGAGGAATAATGCCTTTTTTCTAGTGTGCTCTCCCAAAGTGCTCTTTTGAAAAAAGGCGCTGTGTAATGCAAACTGTGCTTTTTCAAAAGAAAGCATCCAGACTGCCTAGGTGCTCTCTTTTGAAAAAGCGGCTTGCTTTTTCGAAAGTACTGGTTGTAGTCTAGACGCTCTTTTTCGAAAGAGGCTTTTTCGAAAGTATCTTTCAAAAAAGGCTTGCAGTCTAGACATAGCCTGAGAGAAAAAGCATTTTTATGCACTTTGCTACCAAACCAGCGTCTCTCCAAAAGTAGCAATAAACTGTGCCATATAGTGGATTTGCTTTATATGGACAAATATAACATTGGGCCAAGCTCATTTTTTTCTATTTAGTGTAAGAGAGGAAGCAAATCCATCCACGAAGGTTGGAGCCACAGAGGATGGTATGTTTAGTGGTCCCACCTTTATGGAGTGAGTGATGTGTCAGATAGAGGCTGCAAAGTTAGATAATTCGGTAGCATTTTTGTTTCCTGGCTTGTCAGCCAGAGGGACCTGCTCCATGGTTGTACTGTCCTCCGAAATACAATGGGAGGCACAAATATTTCAATGGGCTGTTATTAAGAGGTTGATTGAGGCTGATAGGCCTAAACAGAAGGCCCATCACATGATTCCGACCGCAGCCTGTAGAACAGATTGCAGGGGTTTACGGAATCCTGCTCATTGAAGGTCAGTACAAATATATCACAAGCGGCAGGGAGTGAGAAACGTCTCTTCGGGTTACCAAATTCTTCCGCTCAAGTAATTGGAAGAAAGAACGACTGATGTTTCTGTTCCTCGAGTGCTTAAGCTCCATTCCCGTCATCCGTGCTACGGTGCCAGCCCCTTCGTTCTGCAGAATTCGAGGTCCGCATAGCAAAGCGCTACGCATATTTCTCTCAGCAGCATTGGGAGAACCCCCTTACCCAAAGAGACACTGTGCCAAGTGATCCAGCCCATGGAAACTCATCCCTTGAGTTCAAAGGAGACTAAATACCATTTCTCCCCTCTGGGATGTTTTGCCCAAAGCCCTGTAGGCCAGTGGTTCCCAAACTTTTTGGCATCACCCCCCCTTTTTTCCTTTTTGAAAAACCCTCACACACACACCCCCAAATAGAAGCAAAACTTGAGTGAAAAAAAAAAGGAAAAAAGGAACTGAACAGGGCAGCAAAACTTGATGGCGGGAGGCTGGGTCACTTTGCGCCCTCCCCCCCTGGAATTTCTTCACATCCCCCAGCCCCCGGGAGACACGCCCCCCAGTTTGGGAACCCATGCTGTAGGCAGAGTTCTCCCAGCCTGGAAACTATCCAGCAGAGTTGTTGACTCGAGTCCCACGACTTGAACTCGAGTCCGACTTAAGTCGCCTAGGTGACTCGACTTGAGATTCGACTCGGGTTCATTGTTTGTGACTTGAGACTTGCTAATTTTGTTAAATCGACTTGGTGAAAAAATTGTCCGAAAAATGCTGATATTGATGGCTCGTACAAAAGTGACTTGACATTTTTTAAATTAAGACTCGAGACTCGACTTGAGACTTGAACTGTAGTGACTTGAGACTCGACTTGGACTTGACAATGACGACTTGAAGACAACACTGCTATCCAGTTTATCAACACTCCCACAACAAACGTTTCTTCTTAAACGTTTTCTTCCCTAATGAGATCCACATGTCAGTCCCTCCCCTCCAGGAACCACAACTCATCCTGAAAAAACCCATCATGACAATAGCGTTTAATAGTAAAACAAAATACGGGAACAGAATACAAAAGGGGGTCCTCCAAAGGTAAGGATTACAAAAACGTATATACATACCATACAAAAAAGGAAAGACAATATGAGGAACAAAAAGCAACGAGGGAACAGAAACATGCTGTTATCATTTACAGTAGTTTAGGTGTGAGGCTGTAATCCAGACCGGCAAAGAACAAGCGAGAAGTACTAGCAGTATGTAGGAAAGTGCATAGTTTAAACAGAGGGTGTTAGCCCATGTATGTGAGGTCAGAACCACAGTACTAGATAATGTTTAATTTGTTCTTTTACATAATACTCTCCAACTTCAGAGAAATGCAAGTGCTGCCGTATGTCGCAGGAGGAGATACACTTCTTTGAGCAGATACAAACAAGTAGTAAAACAGGCCAGTATCACTAAACCAATTGTGGAACAAACTCTTTCTGATTAGCTTTGATTCATGAGAGCAGACCCATAAACTTAAGTGGGACTGTTTCTGCAAGGAAACGTGCAAGCTACATGAATATCAATTGCACAGTCTTCATTAGTGGATACAGATTTCAGAAGTAGTTACAGATTTCAGGCCAGAACCAACAGGCAGAAGCCCAGATAGAGTTACTCCAAGGTTCAACCTGTTATTTCACATTTGGGCCTATTGCCAGGCACTGGTTTTTCCTTAGAGATGCTTCCCAACTTGTGTGCTAAAGACAATCTGTCAGACAAGCCAGACCTTCAATGATTTCCTGGGCTGTAAACAGAAAACGTGTTGCAAATGTGCAATGTATAGGCAGGCGCAGCTTGGTTGTCATGACACCGACGTCCCTAAGTCATGTCAGAAAGTTTGAAGGATCTGATTCTGCCCCATAAAGTCAGTGGCGGGGTGCCACAAATCACAGAGACAGCAGAACTGAACCGTAAAAGAGCAGCTGTTTGCCAGCTATGGGTCTCTAAACAACTGTTCATCTTCAGCTTTCAGCGTTGTATTGATGGGTGAATGCAGGGTGCTTTTTTTCCCCCTAAACTAGAAAGGAAATAGCCTAAAACATCAAAGTGCCATAAATATGAACAGTGAGAGGTTGGTTGAGGCAAACAGGCACCCTTCTACGCAGAAAACAAGCCTGATTCAAAACTTTCCCCACCTCTGCCTTTAGTAGGGACATTCAACCAACGAGGCGTTGGAGGAATGCTACATGCTAGAAATTAAAGGTAGAGATGTTAGCTTACGTATAAGGACCAAGTCCAGCATCTCCGGCCTACATTCAGGTCAGTGGAGTTATTCCAGATTTACAGGGGTAACTGAGCAGAATCTAGTGTGTAGAAAGTACTGATTCTTTAACACACTTTCGCAATAGAACTCCAAGGCGTGCAGCTCTGGGTTCTTTCCAGTTGGCCATATAAGGCACGAGGCCCAAGGCAGGGTAACTCCAACCCCTAAGAAATGAGACCCTCCCCTCCCAGGTCGGCTTAGCTACTCATGTCTTCTTTCAATTATGCAACAGATACAGCACACATCAGAAGCACAGACAGCCCCGCCCTAGCGCGAGCATTAGAGACAGAGATGCTACCTCAGCGAGCGACCGCCAGTCTGGGTGCTCCAGTGAAGAGCTCTGAAACCGTTTTGTGGCACCAAACTAATTCACCGCTCCCCGTGGCTTCCTGCAGGACACCGTCCTGTGAGCCGGGCACCTGACACACGCCCCTTTTTGGCAGGGAAAAGCTTCCGAGGCTCTGAGAGCAGCACCGTCTTTGAGCCCAGCGCGCGGCCAGTCTGACTCGGGCAAGTGGACTTTCAAAGGGCTTTGCTGTGGAAAATGCTCCTTTTGCTAATGCTGGTGGGGACTGCAGGGTAACCCTTCCCTGGCATTTCCTCTTCACGCGTGCACAGCTACCGTCTGTGCGGAAGGTTCTAGGGCTCTCATCTCATCCCCCCGCTCCCCAAATGGTCCAGTGAAGAAGTTGTTATAGGGCGTTAATGCAGCTATTGGCAATACAGAGACGGGCAATCTTGTCATTTACTACTGAACGATTTGAGGCATTTCACTCCACGCTTTGGCTTTTTTCTTGGCCAGGGACAGCCAGGATGGTTCCATGGAGCCGCACGGTGTCAGTGGCAGATTGCTGGGAACCACAGGCGCTACAGGGGTGGGAACCACAGGGGCGGGAACCACAGGCGCTTCCTGAGCCAGGGATCCAAGCGTCACTGCTGAGAACAACCCCAGTCAGTCATCAGAACACAGGAGAGTTAGACAGAACTTAGGCTAACTTTTTTTCCTGCTCTTTAAAGGGACATCCCCTAGAGGTGAAAAAAAACCAAAAGTGACACAATTTCACAAAGCAACAGAGAGAACAGGAAGAACTTGGGCTTAAACTGCACGTTTAGGTTAGACATTAGGAAAAATTTCCTACCTGTCAGGGTGGTGAAACACTAGAATCAATTGCCTAGGGAGGTTGTGGAATCTCCATCTCTGGAGATATTTAAGAGCAGGTTGGATACACATCTATGATGGATGATCTAGACGGTGCTTGGTCCTGCCATGAGGGCCGGGGACTGGACTCGATGACCTCTCGAGGTCCCTTCCAGTTCTAGTGTTCTATGATTCTAACTGCCAGACGAGATCTGACCAGTGGTCTGCAGACCAGCACCCCATCTGTGACAATGACCTGTCCCAATTGCTTCAGAGGTCGGTGTTAGAAACTCTGTAGTAAGCCCTTACAGGGAGAGACTATGTCCAGTGAAAACGTTCTCTTAACTCCCGATATTTAGAGGCGGGGTTAAGCCTTGATGCATCAGTAAACTTTACCTAAATTCTTGGGGTTTTTGGTTTTCTTGCTATTCATGTGAATGTCCAACTGCTTTCTGAATCCTGCTACAACTCCTGGCCACAAGTATAGCTTGTGGCAAGGAGTTCCCCAGGTTGTTTTTGCATTTTGTACAGCACAAGTGGCTTAGAAGTCAAAGGAGTCCGAGGTTAACACTTGTTCTGGAAACTACCTACACCCTTAGCCCCCAGCCAAATCAAATTTCTGTCTCCTTTGAGTAAAACAACAGGAGTCTAAGTCTTGAAAACCTTGTTTTGTTGGTCATGAGGGGACAATGCTGGCAGCAGAACTTGGTGTTTTTCTGAACTCTTGTGTAATGCTGATTTTCTAGAGAACATCAACATTAGGCTTAACACTTGTTCTGGAAACTACCTACACCCTTAGCCCCCAGCCAAATCAAATTTCTGTCTCCTTTGAGTAAAACAACAGGAGTCTAAGTCTTGAAAACCTTGTTTTGTTGGTCATGAGGGGACAATGCTGGCAGCAGAACTTGGTGTTTTTCTGAACTCTTGTGTAATGCTGATTTTCTAGAGAACATCAACATTAGGCAGAGATATTTGTAAATTTTCAAAAGGCAGAAAAACTCAGTGATTTTTGCTGCCACCACTGTGGGAGCGAGACTTTTTACACCAGGCCACCAAGACAACCCATAGGGCAAGTCAATGCAAAGAAATGTTTAATGCTGCGGCAACTCCCATGGATGCCATGAATTTCAGGCAGGGTATAACGGGAAAAGGGCCTGAAGTAGATAGCTAGTGTCTGGATTGCCATTCGATCTGGCAGAGCATCCAAAGGTCCAGGTGAACCCAGCGCAGGCGTGGGAATAATTTTCAGCCCAGCCCTGACAGGATTCTACAAAGAGACTTCTCAAACTTCCTTCCTTCTAGCTTCGTACTGAGTTTACCAAGTCTGGGAAGGAAGTGGGCACAGAACGGAATCCTTAATGAAAAAATGGGTCAACGCTAAATCAACACACTGGTAAACTAGCAGCTAACAGAGCACTTCTGTGTCCTCCTGATTCCTTAGCTGGTTATCCATTGCTGTCGGCCACTTGGCACAGGGGCAGGAAGGTGAGAAATTCTGTTCACTTACGTAGAAGAAAGCTTTGAAGTTTAGTAGATTTCACTGAGTAAACTACACTCGTAGCTGCAAGTTTGATTTGTGTTATCTGGGCACAGTGACAGCTCAACTCTGCTTAAAGGCACAGCCCGGAACGAGGGCTGGGGTGTAAGTTGCATGATTACAGCAATTGCCTCAAAGCACCACACACCCCTTTGAGCCAGTCCCTGGCTGTAATTTACTACTGGCCTCTACTCCCAGTGAGTCACTACATCAACTACCCCTTCCGCACCCTGGCTCAGGGACTCTGGCAAACAAGCTGAGGATGGAGCTTAGATTCTCTCATTGTCCGCCCCGCTGCTCTGGGGATGGAGGAAGCAGAAGAACATTACGTGCGCAAAAACGGCTGAGCAGTCTACACTGCAAGGAGAAATCCAAATTGAGCTGGTACCATACCTAGCGAATTAATCAGGTACCATATCTCCTCTGGTTCCATTTCGGTCAATGTTTTTTCCTCCCTTTTACGTCCTTTGGCAAGAGGATGACCCTGGAAACCTTTCCGCTTTCGTTTTGCCATGGAGACCCAAGCTGGTTCAGAGGAAACCGTTTCCAAAAGCGGACTAGGGACTTATTCTACAAGAGAATGTTCTGACGACTGCTCCCATTGAAAGGCTTCTCAAGTTGGGGAGAGAAAAAGGACAGTTCCCAAAAACTCACTAACGAAAATCTTGGCCATGGGCAGTTGGTGAAGGTAGAGCTGGGGGAGGCAAGGCACTCCAGCCCCGCCCATCCTGCTGAGGCTCCACCTCCCCTGCCCCAGGGAGGCAGGGCAGCACGCTGTGCATACACACACACACCCCCCAACCATGGGGAGCGGAGAGGGCGCATGCTCATCCCAATCTCCCCGGAGCACCAGGGGAGGGCAGTGAGTGGCCCCAGTCTCCCTGGCCTTGGAGCACCGGGGAGGAGGGGCACTGGGGGCAGCAACGTGGGGGCGGAGTGTGGGCGGGGCCAGGCCTGGCGGTTTGGGAAGACAACGCCCGCCCCCTGCCTAGTCTACCAGACACCCACGAACCTGGCTCCGACTGAGTGAGCGGGTGGGTGAGTGCAGTCAGACAGACAGACAGACGTTTCAAATGAATACCTGCTGAAGCGGACACGGCCATCTTCACTTGTGAGATCTTCTCCTGAGCGCGCTGGCTGGGAGCCACGTTCCTTCCCAACACATGGTCGCTAGCACAGGTCACTCGCTTTCAGAAATAAACCAAGAAAGCAAATTAGGACACCTGCAAGTGTAACTCATTACGCACACAGGTAGCAGCACCCCTTTAAAGTTTGATAGTACAGGTTGGACCTCCCTGGTCCGGAACCCGAATGGTCCCGAACCAGGGCGTTTTCTGGATCAGAGAGGTCAAGGCTCCCCCTCCTGGCCATCAGTCCTGCTCTTGGGCAACAGTCCCGGCCATTGGGCTCTGCTCCCAACCCCAGCCAGGGCTGCGCTCTCAGCCGCACCGGTCCCACTGCTGCCAGCCCCAGTCGGAGCTGCCCTTCTGAACCTAGCCGCCTCCACTCCCAGCTGAGCGCTCTGGGGCAGCGATACACGAGGTCCTGCCAGACCACGGCCATTGCCAGAGCATGGACCAGATTGTAGAATTTCAACCTGTCCCACCAATGCTGGCAAGTCTCTTGGAGGTGGACTGAAAATTCACCAAAAGATACACAGATCCGGGGCTCGGCTGCTATGGGCAAAATACCACGGCAGGCCAGGGGCTTTTCTCTTTTTACTGCTCTTCAGTGGCATGTTTAACCCTCACTACTCGTGATATCACATCCACTATTAAGTTTGTCATATACTTCACAATCTGTGGATGAGCCACAAACCTTATGTCTCCGAGTCCTTTGGCAGAGCCACTGTTCTCAATGGCGGAGCAAAGGTAGTGGAAATGTGCCGTACTGCAGAGCGCTTTGAATTAGGCGGGGCACTGGGCAGACCCCTTGCAATATTTAGAACCAAGAGGTGCCCACGTGACCACTGCAGGTAAGGTGTTTTGCCGCATCTGACCCCAAAAATCCAAGTACCTGAGCAGACCTGACCAAATGCACCTCTATTCATTGGCACCAGCAGTCTGCGGGCAACACTAGAAATCGGCTTTGAAAATTTGCTCCTACGCACGGCTAAAAACCTGCTGCCCAAGAACACCAGATTCAGCCTTTTGTACAGGTATCCAGTTCGACTCTCCGGGTACGTCTACACAGCAGCGTTATTTCAGAGTGACGAACAGTATTCCAAATGTACACACAAGCAGTTATTTCGACATAATGTCGAAATAACGCCAAGCCGGAGGATTTCGTACCCCGACTCCTGTATGCCCTCATTTTACAAGGATTAAGGGAAGTTGGAAGAAGTTCTTTCTGGGACTTATGGCTGTGTAGACAGCGCCAAAAGCCAAATCAAGCTATTTTGACTTAAGCTACGCAATTGATGTAGTTCAAGTTGCGTAGCTTCATTCGGATTTAGCCCTGCAATGTAGACATGCCCTCACAGTATTCACAGTGGTTCTAGTCTACTAGCCACTAGGTACCATACCTCCTCTGGTTCCATTTTGGTCAATGTTTTGTCCTCCCTTTTATGTCCTTTGGCAAGAGGATGACCCTGGAAACCTTTCTGCTTTAGTTTTGCCATGGAGACCCAAGCTGGTTCAGAGGAAACCGTTTCCAAAAGCGGACTAGGGACTTTTTCTACAAGAGAAGCATTTTAGAAGTAAAGAAGGGATTTAGAGCAAGTCTGTGAAACCCTAAACAGCGCTGTGTGTTTAATTCTTCAATGAACACGCTTTGAAAAGGGTGACGATCACACTAAAATTTGCCTGCTGATTTTGTCCTCGTTCCTTAGCAAGATGTTTGCCCTTTCTGCGTACTGAAGTCTTTAAAGTCGATGGAGTAGGACTTAGCCCTTACAGCAACCTCTTTACAGTAAAGGCCAAATGTAGAACGCTGACCACAGTTCTGCCACAAAACTCGATTAGAGACTGGCTGCCTTTTCATTTCCCAGCTGTTTTTGAAAAAAAATCACCAGTAAAGTGATATCTGGTTAAGTTACATAACATCAGAACAGCCAGACTGGGTCAGACCAAAGAACCACTTAGCCCAGTGTCCTGTCTGCCGACAGTGGCCAGCACCAGATGTCCCAGAGGGAGGGACCACAACACGTAATCCTCACATGATCCCTCTCCTGTCACTCATTTCCAGACAAGTTCTAAATTGCATTGGCCTGACAACAAGTTGCAAAACAAATTGTCTGAATTCTACAAAGTTGAGGCAAAAGCACCTCTATGTGAAAGAAATGGCCCGTTTTGTATTTCTGATGCTCCGTTGCTATTCTAGCCTGAATGTAGGGTATGGTGAAACCTAAACATTTTCTTGAACACCCAAAACTCAACATACAAGTCCAAAGTGGCATCAGCAGAGTTACTCCAGGGCTGATGAGGGTCCTGTATTTCAGGGTTAAGGCTATTACAGAAAATGTTTACCCTTTGCACGTCCCTGGTTTGCCACTCTTTGGGTACGTCTAGACTACCCTCGGCTTCCAAAAGAAGATATGCAAATTCTGCACGAATTTACATATCGTCTTTCGATCCCTTTTTCGAAAGAGGTTTAAAAAAGCAGTCAAGACGGGCTTTTTTTACACAAACCCCCCCTTTTTGCAAAGAACCCCGTAAACCTCATTTTTTGAGGAATAAGGGTTCTTTTGAAAAAGGGGGGTTTGCGTGAAAACCCCCGTCTAGACTGCTTTAAAAAAAAAAAAAACTCTTCTGAAAAAGGGATCAGAAGAAGGTATGCAAATCTGCGCCGAATTTGCATATCTTCTTTCGGAAGCCAAGGGTAGTCTAGAAGTGCCCGTTTGTGATGGTTTGCACAGCCATTACTCTCAACAGTCTTGGGATACAAGTACAATGTAAATACCTGAAAGTTTGTTAGAGTGTTGTTTCTTTGAGATTTCTTCAGGTTTTGGAACATTTCTCTCTTCCACGACAGCTGAATTTTTAGCCAAAGCTTTTGTACTGCCTGGAAGGCCTTGAGGAGACTTCCCAGTGCTTACTGATTTTTGATCCTCCTTGACAGACCCAGAAGAGGAGATGTGAACGGCTACTGGCATCTGCATTGGAGATTCGCTGTGGTACTTTAGCAAAGAAGATGTTCTTCGCAGTCTAACCCCAAATGGGTTTTCTGCATTCTGTGTTTCATGCTCTGCCCCCTCCCTGGAAGAATTCAAACTGGCCTTATTGCTCTTGTTATCTCTCTCAACCCCCCCTGAGTTGTTCTTTGTAGACTCTTGCCTGGTGGCATCTAAGTAAGCTGTTCCTTCAAACAACTCTGGTCTTATAGGAGAGGATGGGGAAATTCTTGCACAGAAATCTTCCTTGGAATTTGAACCCCCTGAAAGAGATCTTTGCCAGGCAGGAGCAATGGTAAATCTAACTGGTTTCGCATCAGTGGACTTCACTGGAGTTTTTACGTTTTCCTCTGCAGATCGGCTTTCTTTCCTTGTCTTCGCTTGAGAAGTTGTGTCACCTAACTGGTTCTCCTTACGGTCACCAACAGGAGGGATATAACTCTTGAAACCAGCCAAACTTGAGGAGGCCAGGCATCCGATGGAATGTTTTTCCAAAAGGTTGGATGCATCCCTCTCCTGATTGCTTGGGCTGGCCTTTGAAACAGGACTATGCATTTCTGGTGTGAAAGGTAGCTCCTTGTCACTCTGAGGCAGCATGCAATCTATATCGGACATTGACACAACCGGGTCTTTTTGAAGGGATGGTTTTGTATCTACATGGTCTTTGGGTGGCTGAAGTTCCATAACTCTGCATATTTCTTTGTCATCTTCTGCTGCTGGGGTATTTTCAGGCACCAAACCAGTCATCTGCTCTCCTTCCGGGGCAGTCTCCAAAGCAGCTACATGAACCTGTGAACCACACTGTGCAAGAGCAGAGTCAGGCCAGATGAAGTTGTCCTCATTGGTACCAAAGTGATCATCCACTTTTCCTACAAGTGCCACACCACTGTCTTCAGCCACCTTGTCACTTTGGTCTATAGGTTGTTCTAAGGATACCTTTGTGGCATCCACCAATATATTGATGTCCCCCTTTTCCATGGAAGTGCCGTACAAGTCAGACGCTACTGCGTCCTGATAGACAACAGCGTCTGGTTCAGTCTCTAGAGCTTCAGAACGTTCAAATACGTCATCGGAATGTTGCAGAAGTCGTTGGAATTCACCCATAGAGTCATCAGAACAGGAAGGTACCAGTACTTCCTTTGCCTTGTTCTCCTCCTCAGACTTCGCTGGAGAAGACGGCGCATTTGGAACACACACCGCTATTTCATAGGGGTGATCTGTTTCTCTAGGGCATGGATCCTTTTCTAGCAAAGTGCAAGCTACATCTGCAGCGGAGACACAATTCTGAGAGTCACTGGTGGAACTGTCCGGCTTTGTTATGGCTTGGGTCTCGTCAGCACCACTTCCTTTTCCGATATTCTCCTCCTGGCCCAATGAACCTGTGTTGAACAGAAGAAAACAAATGTCTGCCTGATGGTTACAACAAAGGCTCATGTGCTCCTCACCTGTAATTCACTCTAAGTACTGTGGCCAGGTACTAATCATTTCCCAATAGCCGCATGCCATTTACTAGATGCCGCCAAGGCCAACAAACCCACTTAAAAATGGGGGACAGGCTGGCTCTAGGAGAGTGGTAATGAAATATACTGGCTTCCACTTGTAATAGTGCCACGGTTAGTAATACAGGTTGGACCTCCCTCGTCCGGCACACTTGGGACCTGACTGGTCCCAAACAAGGGGATTTGCCGGACCAGGCGAGGTCCCTCCCAGCATGCCCCATGATGAACTCCTGCCCCCTGCTAGGGTTCCAGCCTGGCACCACTGCTGTCTGCCTGGCCGTGGCTCTCCTGGCTGGAGCTCCCTAGCTGCTGCTACTGGACCCCAACCTTGCAGATGGAGCCAGAGCTCCGCAGCTGCTGCCGACCTCTGCTACCTTCCAGCCACAGGGGCAGAACTTTCTGCTGTACCATCCATCCTTCCGCGTCCTCCCATGGGGCTCTCAGCTGAGTTGCCGGATCCCTGCTGCGCTCCTGCCCCATGGCCCAACTTCTCTATATCTGGGCTCTCTGGTCCAGGAACATCCCTGGTCCTGCCAGACCACAGATGTTGTTGGACCAGAGAGTCCCGGTTAAGAGAGCTACAACCCATAGCTGAAAGCTCAGCAGCTGGTATGTCAAACAATTCATGGACTATGTCACCACCAGGAACAGAGGCGGGAGCTGTGACATGCGAGGATCCTTCACTCTCTGTTCACTACAGTGTGGTTTGCAAGCACTAAGCACTTCCCAGGAAAGCCTGAACATCCTGCAAGGATCAGGCTATACGTTCGGGTGGACAAAACACCGACACGCGTATGGTGCTGTCGTGTTCCAATCAATCGATGCATTTAGAACGCACTGATCAAAATCGGGGATTATAAAAATGGGCTGTTTGGGACAAATGTCGGTTGATTTTACGATTGCAGTGAGACTCAATTATCAACCAAAACCCAAGAAAAATAGACCAGCTTGTACATAAGCTATTTAAAGTCACTAGGCACCACTTCACACGATGGTGTGTTTCAAAAGGCAAGATGTTGAGATGGTATTTACAGAGGGAGGACAAAATTGCCAATAGGGCCTGTGTTACTCAAAGATCCCGTGACAGTGAAATGTAGGCTCTCGTGTGATATGGTGCTTTAGAAAATTGTTACGCCTAGTCTGATTTCTGTTTTCATGCCTTCCACCGAGCGCATCACCAGTCTGTTCTCACTTTCAAGCACACACTGCTAGCTCTCAGGCAGATAGGATGCAAATTGAGATTAAAATAATAAAATAAAAGCTGCCTAGTTTTAAAAGGCTTTCAGTCAAACTCAGGTCTCTAATCTGTAATAGAATTCTGTTAATCATTCAGAATTTTGCCGTACCTGACCAATTTTCATGCTGGTCAGCATCAAGGAATTTTGTGGCACTTTTCCTTTCTGGAGTTACAAGAAGATTCTGCTCCTTTTCCGGTTGTTCCTGCTGGCAGGATTCAAAAAGACGCTTGGGTTGCTTCAAAGTAAAGGCTTAGGCACACAACGTACACTCTATGTAACGTCATTTTGAAAAATATAAGCGTACACGAGGAAAAAACCTATATTGTAACTTCATGAGAACATCAGAATGGTCAGACTGGGTCTGATCCAGTCTTCCAACAGTGGCCAATCCCAGATGCCCCAGAGGGAGTGAACCATCAAGTGATCCATCCTCTCATCCATTTCCAGCCCCTGATAAACAGAGGCTAGAGACACCGTTCCTACCCATCCTGGCTCATAAGTATTGATGGACCTAACCTCCATGAATTTATCGAGTTCTTTTTTTGAACCCTGTTAAAGTCCTGGTCTTCACAACATCCTCTGGCAAGGAGTTCCACAGGTTGGCTGTGCATTGTGTGAAGAAAAACTTCCTTTTGTTTGTTTTAAACCTGCTACCTATGCATTTCAGTTAGTGACCCCTAGTTCTTACGTTATGGGAACAAGTCAATAAGTTTTCCTTATTCACTTTCTCCACACCTGTCATGATTTTATAGCCCTCTGTCATATCCCCCCTTAGTTTTCTCTTTTCTAAGCTGAAAAATCCCAGTCTTTTCATCTCTCTGTTTGATCAAACAATACTATGAACGAATGTTGCTACACCAGTGAATTACACAGCAAGACATCAAAGCTTTAAAGCTACAAATACAGCACTTTGGTCATTTGTGACTCCCAGAGATACTCTTAAGGCAGATACATTTTGAGAGAGGGCGTTTTCAAGGCATCACGAGGCTACACAGGTGTTTAGAACAGAACGTTTTCGGAGGTGCCATTTTCAGATCAAGTCGCTAGAACTACCACAGAGGACGGAGACGTTCTCCGCCGTTGTAGTTTTATCTGCTGCAGCACAACGAGCATCAAACAAAGATCCTGTAAGAGCTTTACTGCCCCATGGCAGGGCAGGAGTTCCTGTCTCCAAAGGGGCAGACAGCCACCCTAGGGAATTCATATTCCTCCTAGCAGCAGTGACTCCAGAACAGATTTTCAAGGGGAAATGCTCCCGGGACAGAAGAAAGCATCCTGCGTAGACCATCTGCTTCCTATTTCTGCCACATTCTTCCCATCACTCTCTTCCTAGCTTATGGGCCCTAGCTGCACATGATGGTTCCCAGGGCTCTGTGGATTCCGAGGGGTGGGGGAGATTTACTGCTCTTCATCTCGGATTCCTTGCCCTTGTGCCGTTCACTTTTCCTCCTTTCTGCCAGAGGAAGTGCAAAACAGTGCCAGGCTACATGTTCCATGCAGCCATCCGTCTGACCAGTTGGTTCCCAGACCTCTGGAGCTGCCAAGATTGACGTTCAGTCTGGGGCCGCTTAACACAGCTCTAGTACCCTTCCCTCCTGGGATGCAAAAGATTACAGATAAAGCCGGTCCAAATTCTCCAATAGCTTTTCTATGTAAATTAGCATTCCAAATAATACATATAGACAAAGTTTAATTGGACGTTTTCCAATAAACTATTAGAAACTAAAAAAAACCAAACCAACCCACTTTCATTTTATTCAAATCAAACAGAACTGCTTTGGGGGTTCCTCCTTTCTTTTCCTTCCAATGGAAGCAGGAGAGGAGGATGGAAAAAGTGGGGGAGAAAACAAAGACAGCTTACATGTCAGCTGGAATAAAAACAACAACAAATATTTTGATTCATTTCAGTGAAAAAATCCCAACATTTGAGTGTCCTTTTTAAATTTACTTGGAGAAAAAAAATCCCATTTTTTGACCGAGACAGCTACAGCTTTCTCTATTCTGTTGATTATTCCCATTTGATAGTCTACCTCCACAGTTTAATTCTCACTGTAGCAAAATTCTCCCCTTTCACAGCCATTTGGTTAGATTGTTAACGGCAGAACAGGAAGTAGGTGTATGTTCCTGTCTCTATTGGGAGGATCCCAATGGGAATGTTCCTTTTGGCTTTAATTACATTTAGAACACATCCAAGATCTCCAGAGGAGGGAATAACAGCAAAGACTACAAACACTCTGCACCTTTCTCCCTCCACTTTGCACTCAGCCTTCGGAAGAGACTTACAGGAGTTTGCTGGTTCTTATTGGTAAAAATTCTCTGTTTCCGTGGGTTTATTGCTATCCTGTGCCGAGCTGCAGAGGTATCCAGGCAGCCAAGGGGACTGGCAGGAGTGTTGAAATCGACAGGAAGCAAGCTGCTGGCTTGTGTGGCTGGACTCACAAGCGTCGTAGAGGACAACGGGCTAACGGGCCTAGAGGAAGCATCAGAAGGTACCTGTAAAACACAAACACATCACAATTCATTTTGCTCGGATTTTCTGTGCATCTGATCTTGGTTCCTACTTCCAGTCACACCAGATTGGTTTAGAAGCAACTATGCTAAAAATCAGATCTATAAAAATATTAACAACTGGATTTTTTGGCTCTTTCGGGCTGTGTCCATTGTTCTACGTGCAATTAACATTAACACTCAATTGTGTTCGACCGATGGCACTGTACATAGAAGTGAGACAGACAGACACAGCAACAGTTTCTATCATTCCTAGCTGAAAGATCAGTTCACAATATCTTCTTCCAATTTACATTTACACTCAATTGTGTTTGACCAATGGCACTGTACAAAGAAGTGAGACAGACAGACACAGCAACAGTTTCTATCATTCCTAGCTGAAAGATCAGTTCACAATATCTTCTTGTGCCAGCAGGAGACACTGTTGCCATTTTTATAACAGGGTCTTGCTTTTCTTGGGGACAGAGAGCAGATACCCCCAGCAATGTGATCAGATAAGGTCACAAAAGAAGGTCTCTCCATTCCTCACTAACGCTAAGAAAGTTATTGATCAGTTAGCTCTGTCTCTCTTCGCTCTCCCTCCAACCCACAACAGAATTCTTGCGTTTCTTTCTATCTAGCAATCCCGAGCTGGTTTTAAGATCAATACGCTATGCACAAAGCACCACAACGCTGCAATTCTTGCAAACCAAAGAGCAAGACATGAAGCGTTTATAAAGGGAGTCGGGAGAAATGCCTGCAGGGAAACCCCCAAACCATACAAAGTTTATCTGGTTTTGTTACAAACTTGAAACCCAGCCCAGGTTTGCTAGAAGGTTCAAAGAGCTGCCTGGACATTTTAAGCAAGCTTGATAGGTGGGAAAAATCTGTTGTTTTCCATGGTTTCAGCCACAAAACTCGGTGAAACACTGCAGTTTGGACTGAGGTTGGCATTCCGATTTTTGGCTTCTTTGAATTTAAAACCCGGTCAAGGAGGAGTCATCTAGGCTGGTCAAATAATATGTTCCTACAGACCTTTCTGAAGGGAACGTGCAGTGTTTGACACATTACCGATAACACGGGGGACATTATGATGTCTGATTACACAGTTTCAATCGCAGGCTCGCTCGACATGCATCAGACCGTGAGAATAGATGGGCTTTTGACACATTACCGCTAACACGGGGGACGTTATGATTTCTGATTACACAGTTTCAATTGCAGGCTCGCTCGGCATGCATCAGACCGTGAGAATAGATGGGGAAATAGCCTTATTAGGACACTACATAACTATATTCAGATGAAAATTCCATTGTGACGGCCCCGGGGAAGTATTTAATAAACGAATATTTTAGATCCCGCTGGGCTCAGGAAGTCAGAAAGTCACAGACTTAAGGCTGTAGATGAAAATATTGGTTACCTTGATGAACTATAGTATCTTGCATTGAAGAACCACCAAAATCTATGCGATCCTCCAACCGTTCATAGCACAGTTCCTTTATGAAAGCATCTGCTCTCAGTCTTGGTCTGTGCTAAAGCCTGTCAGATTTAATTCAAACCATCAGGCTACATCTGGGTGCGTAACATGTATTAAGAGCCCTGGCGTGCGGACTGTAGGGAAGCACTCGTCCTGAGCTTGCTTTTTAAAAGGCAGGTTTGGAACTGGAGCTGTGCTGGAAAAGGCTTTCCCCATCTGACCTACACTATCTGTCCAGGTAGATCCCTTATGTGCTTTCCATGTTCAGAAAAAGAAAAGCAAGTCCGCTCCCCCCTACTCACTGCAGGTTTTTTAAGTTCATGGAGCTAAAGCAAAATCAACACTGAGTTTATTACGTCACGTTAAGGGTCTTTTCCCCAGTGTGTAAATTCTAGAAAAGTTAAAAGAACTAAGGAAGCAAATTATTATTGATCCTATAGATGATGATGATAGATTCCAGCAGATCTTGGGGGGGG